AAAGAAGAAAATGAGTATTTTCCTATAGAAGTTACTATAGACTAAGTTCTACTGGAGTTTCTATAGAAGTTCCATATAAATAGAAGTTCTATTATTTTCTTCCTGCACCCCATTGGATCACCTTGCACACCCCCTGCTTTGGAGACCACTGCTGTAAATGAAGGTAGAGTGTAGAAATGTTGTTAATTGTGGTGTGCAATTTTATTTATAGAGTGCTTCATTCTTTCTTGGGAGTAAGCTGAAGTAAATTTTAATTGTCTGTAAAATCTGGTGGGGAAGATGTTAGTATTTCATAGTAACACCTAAAAATTAGTAGTTTGAATCCACTAAACTAGAACTGAGAAGTAAAGAAAGGGTAACTGCAGGGCTCTTGGGTGTTTGCAGTCAGACCCTAAGGCTAGCAGAGTTTTATAGGATAACCTTTCCTAATAGTAAAATCAAATTGCCTGCAGTACATAATACTAGATTAAAAGCATGACGGTGTAAATTCCTCTTTAAGAAAAGCGTCATCCTAGCCCAGGTCATTGAAATAGGAAGTAGTTACTAGTGCTCTGAATGAATGAAGATACCCCAGTTTTTCTGCTAAGATATGTTGTAAAATATTCTGAATTTTCTTCTTTTAGGAACACGTTGATAGTGGTACTTACACAAATACTTTGGAGCGTCTAGTGAAGGAAATGGAAGACACACAAAGGTTGGTTAGCATTAGGATTCATTTGCTGAGTTTAATACACTGCTTGTTTGTGTGGCTGGCTTTTAATTTACCTTCCCAAAAAATCACATTTCCTGTTTATACCGTTATAAAAGTTTGTCTGTTGTCAGCTATGATAGAAATATGGGTTCTCTTCATAGACTGAATGAAAAGGTCCAGTTCTGGGGGCCTAGGGATTTAGCTCAATGATAGAGTGTTTGCCTAGTATGTGCAGAGCCCTGGGTCTGATGTTCAGCACCACACACAAAAAGGCAGGTTTGTATAGTATATGGTGTATTTCATTAACTAAAATTTCTTTCTGTTTATCACAACTTCGTAGCTAATATTTTAAATCCTTGACCAGAAGCAGGGGTAGAATTTATTAAGTGTACAGTTCATTAAGAACTGTGCAACTTTATCATCCATTTCCAGAACTCTTTTTTTTTCCCAAACTGAGACTCCATACCAATTAAACAGTAATTCTGCATTTTTCTCTTCTCTCCTGTCGGTGGCAACTAACATTCTCCTTTCAATCTCTATGAAATTGACTATTCTAAATACTTGTATACATGTGATCATCAGAGTTTGTCGTTTTATGACCGGCTAACTTCACTTAGAAGGGTATCTTCATTGTTCATTGATGACAAGATTGTGTCAGAATTTCTTTCCTTTTTAAGGCTGACCATTTCATTGTATGATGTATATACCATATTTTGCTTATTCATGCATGGCCACTTAGGTTTTATCTATTCCTTGGCTATTGTGAATAATGTTGCTATGAATCTGAGTGTCTGTGTATCGTAAAGACACACTTTTTGGGCTGGGGATTTAGCTCAGCAGTTCGGTGGCCTGCCTTGCAAGCATAAGGGTCCGAGTTCAATCCCCAGTACCAAAAAAAAAAGACACACCTTTTCATTACTTTTGGGGTATTCCTATAAATGAACTTGCTAAATCAGAAGGTAAATGTTTTATTTTTGGCCGAACTGCCACACTGTTGCCCACCGACAGTGATAAAAGCTTATCTTTCTCTGTGTACTCTCCAACACTTACTTTTTCTCCTTTTTTGATAACTGCTCTGGTAGATGTCAAGTGGTACCTCATGATGGTTTTGATTTGCATTTCCCTACTAACAAAACATATTGAACGTCTTTTTCATATGCGGTTAGCCATTTATATAGCTACTATGAGGGAATGTCTGTGCAGATTCTCTGCCTTTGTTTAATCGTGTTTAGTTTTTCTGTTGTTCACACAGGTAAAATGTTTTTAAACATTAGTTTGTTCATCAAATCCAAGTTTTGAAACCAGCATAACTAGACATTTCTATTATCACCTTTTTCAAATGAAAATTTCAGAATTATGAACACGCACCTCATCCCACAAAAACACGCATAGCCAGAAAAATCAGAAAGTTCAGGGTCATAATTTCCCTAATAATTTTTCATGACTGGTAGTTATAAAGCAATGATGGTGAAACTTTCAGAGCTTTCAGTGATACAGGCAGCTGTCAAATGTGCCATAGGTTTGTCATCACTGTTACAAACTGTTAAGACTAATGTAAAGGAGGAAAGCGTATTCCTCATTGACTCATGGCATATCTATGAAACTAGCCCAGAGGACTTCACTGAAAGTTTGCCTGACTTGATTACAAGATGTTGTTATATATGTATCTCAAACTTGATGACCAAAGAGCTAACTGTAGGAATTTTGTAGATAATTAGTAGGTCAAAGTTTTTTCCTCTATGAATTAATTTATAATTAGAAAAATTGTCTCTATTATAGAATTCTTTAAATATTTGGTGAATTCAGATCAGGGATGCAAAATCTGAGGTTGCATATTTAAAATTGAGCATTGCTCAAACCAAAGGGACAGATGTTTGATCCGATGATTGACTTTTTATAGGGATAAAACAGTATATTTACTGGTGTTTCACTGTTTTGCAAGCCATGCACTGTTTGTGGTTGGAGCAGAGAATAACTTTGGTTTAAAATTCAGTGTCAGTAGGATCTAGAGTTCAATCCCAGACTGGGGACCTACTGAGATCCTGTTAGAAAATGAAAGGGCACATTAGAGAGACCCTTGGTTCAGTCCCCAATACTACCAAAAAAATAAAGGCGGCAAGGTATGGCAATGTGGTGGCACATCCTGTAATCCAGCAGGTTTTGAGGCTAGCCAGGACAATCTAGCAATAACCTGTCTCAAAAGAAAGACATGGAAGCTGGGCATGGTGGCGCTGCCTGTAATCCCAGCACTCAGGAGGCTGAGACAGGAGGATCGCTGTGAGTTCAAGTCCAGCCTGGGATACATAGTGAGTTCCAGATCAGTCTCAACTACACACTGAGACCCTGTGTCAAAAACAAAAACAACCACAACAAAAAAAAGTAAGAGATGAAAAGGGCTGGGCTGAGGGTATGGCTCGGTGGTACCATGCCTGTCTGGCAAGCGCAATTCCCAGGACAGTAAAAAGAAAAGAAAAGGGTTGGAGAAGTGACTCAGTGGTAGAGTGTCCCTGGGTTTAATCCCCAGCGCTGCTAAAAAGGATGGGGGTTGATTATAAGACTGGTTTTGAATTCCAGCTCAGCATTGTGAGCTCTTTTGAGGTATTTAGCTTTCTGTTTGCTCATCTGTAACATTGATAATGATAAACTGCTGTTTGGGTTGCCGAGGATTCAGAGAGGTAACACACAAAGCCCTCAGTACAGTGCTGTCATGTAATAGGTGCTCAGGATTAGGGTTAGGGTGATGATGACCACAGTGACAACAGAAGCTGCTGCCAGAAAGCCTAGTTGGCTTAGTTAATGGCGTTCTTTTCCCATCCTCTGATGATTTGGAAAGGTCATTCTTGAAGTCCTAGCTGTAAGTCTTATACTGGAGCCTTATGTGATATATTTGGGAGACGTGATGCAACCTATAGTATAACAGATTTTGTCATGTGATAGGGTACTAATAAGGATTTTCCCTTGTGCCACTTGTGCTGCTTTTAGATACCAACTAAAGCTTTTGATTTCTTAATTTTTAGAGTAGACTGTTTATCCTAGCATTATTTTGATTCTCAGGCTAGATGAACTACAAAAGCAACTACAAGAAGACATAAGGCAGGGCCGAGGCATTAAATCTCCAGTTAGAATTGGAGATCAAGACAGTACGGATGATGAGGATGACCTCTTAGAAGAACACAGGTAAAGTATTTTTTGTAACTTACATACCTGCCTTACTGTTTGCATACTGTTTGGGTTTTGTGAAGTAAATGGGCCACTGATGGCTGTTAATATGGTGAATAGTGTATGCTGAGCTCCAGATCCGTCTGTGATGATGCTGGAAGGCAAATGTTCAAGCCCGCTTATACATCTTATCTTTCCTCCAGTTATTACTTCTTTTCATGCAGACACATTTAGTGGCTCTTGACTGTTACCAGAAAGTGAGTCTAATCTGGGATTACCATTAATTACCAAAAAAAGTTTTCTTTGCATTCAACTTTTAATTACAAACCACATGTACTGTAACTATTCAGTAATCAATAACTTCTTTATTTCAGAGAATTTCTAAAGAAATTTTCAGTTACAATTGATGCTATTCCTGATCATCATCCAGGTGAAGAAATATTTAATTTCCTAAATTCTGGAAAAATTTTCAATCAGTATACATTGGATTTAAGAGACTCTGGTTTTATCGGACAAAGTGCTGTAGAAAAGCTTATTCTCAAGTAAGTAGAGAGTAAACACCTTGCTTTATTCTGTATGAAAAAAACTAAGTCGATATGATGGCACATGCATATAATCCCAGCACTTGAGAGGCTGAGGTGGGGAATTGCTGCAAGTTTGAGGCCAGCCTGAACTACAAAGTGAGTTCAAGACCAGCCTGGACTACTTAGCAAGACCCTGTCTCAAAAAAGACAACTGAGGGCCAGGGTTTTAGCTCAGTGGTGTCGCTACCTGCCTCGCAAGTGCAAGGACCCAAGTTCTATCCCCAGTACCAAAAAAAAAAAAGACAACCGAAAAAATTAGAAGACTTTTGACTGTCAGAAACAATAGTGCATATCTCTCATTTCAGCTACTTGGGAGGCTGAGACTGGAGGATCACAAGTTCAAGGACAGCCTGAGCAATTTTGTGAAATATTGTCAAAAATAAAAAATGACTAGGGATGTAGCTCAGTGGTAGAGCCCTTGCATAGTAAATATGAGGCCCCGGGTTTAATTCTCAGTACACTTGGGGGAAAAAAAAAGGAAAAATAAATTCTGTCTAGCATGGTCTTCTAAACAGTTAATCAGTTAATTTCAAGGCCATGGATTTAGCTCAGTAGCACACCTGCCTCAAAAGTGCAAGGTCCTGAATTTGATCCCTGGTGGTAGAAGGGTGACAGTTAATTTCTGTTAGTGCCTATCTAGTTTCCTAAGCGTTTTATTGGTCTTGCTCTTTCTGTTCTCTTAATCATGGGTGTGAGGATAGCTGTTGAGCACATCCTTTGCTTTTATGAGGATTAAAAACTGTGTAACAGCAGTAACTGTTAGAATGGCAGGTACTTAAACAAGGGGTATATTTCCTTCTGATGTGGAAGAAGTATAGAACCAGAAAGTCCAGGGCTGCTGTGGTGTTTTACCATATAATCATCCTGATTTTTAGCACCCCATTGCGTCAGTGCTATTGGAGTTCCAGTTTTTATGTTGATAACCAGAAATCTCACACCACACTAGAATTTAGTCAACATAGATACGCTTAACAAGGGAAGCTGAGAGGTAATTTTTATTTCAGATAGTCAGTGTGCCCAGTTAAAAGTTAGGGCTCAAGGGCCAGGGATTTAGCTCAGTGGCACTGTACCTGCCTTAAAAGCACAAGGTCCGAAGTTCAATCCCTGGTACCAAAAAAATTAAATAAAAATTAGGGCTCAGTTATTAGCAAAGGCAAAAATTGGCATTAATACTGTCAACTAGTAATCGATCACAATGCCCAAGCTGATATGATTTCTCTTGGGGCATAATGAGGGTTTAGAGAGACCGTGTTAATTCTGATACTGAGTATACCCCCAAGCCAGCACAAACGTGATGTCCCGCTACTCTAGACACTGCTGGCAAGCTTTGCTTTGTCTGCCAGATAAGTGTGCAGCCAGCCCAACAGATGGAGTAGTCATCGGGCCACCGTCAGGTGTGTTTTGTTGTAGGAATAACCCATCCATACTAGCATAACGTCCAGGTCCATAGACCGAAGATACTTTTTTGTTTATTCCCTGATTATGTTAGGTGTGGTGTTAGGGGTGGAAGTATATTGCCATGAAGGTAACATTTTTATTTTGCTTTCTTTTTCAGATCAGGAAAAACAGATCAGATTTTTTTGACAACACAAGGCTTCCTTACTTCTGCTTATCATTATGTGCAGTGTCCTGTACCTGTGTTAAAGTGGTTGTTTCGGGTAAGAGAAACACTTGGGAGGTTGAACATAATGTTTATTGTGCATTATTAGAGAAAAACTTTGAATATCAAACTCATGACCTCAGTAGGTTAGAGTCAACCTAAAGAGATGGTACAACAGCAGTGAAGACTGTTTGCCAGTAATGCTTAACACAGACATTTTTGTCACACTAGTAAGCCTCTGTTCCAGGTAGTTTTAGAAGCGATCTAATTTTAAATACATAATTTCTTTGGAGCAGGGGATTTAGCTCAGTGGTGCTGCTGCCTATCTGGAAAGTTCAAGGACCCAAGTTCAATCCCTGGTACCAAAAAAAACATCTTTTTAACCTTTTCATGTTTTTTGGAGTACCTATATAGATTGTCAGAATTTCAATTCTAATTAAAATTTACTTATTATGTACATCATTTAAATCCAACTGTTTCTTTTCTACATTCATATTTACGACTCAGATGTTATCATAGTTTTGTTTTATATAAGTGGCAACTAACTGTGTTGTCTCTGTGTGTGTGTGTGTGTGTGTGTGTGTGTGTTCTACTGGGAATTGAACCCAGAGCCTTCACACTGAGCAGCACCCCATCCCTTACTGGTCTGGGCATTGCAGCCTTGCCTCCGCCTTCTAGAAGAGTGCTAGGGTACAGGTGTGTGCCACCCCCCCAGGTCTAAGTGGTAACTTATAAATACCAGTGACATTGTTGATTGGGGTGGTGCTGGGGATTGAACTCAGGACCTTGCACTTGCAAGGCAGGCAGTGACATTGTTGATTTTATCTAGAGAGTTCAAGTGCTACTCTTATTGTTCCAGTTTTAGTATATGTTCTACCATAGCGAGCACTCGAGTACTACTCTAGATGTTTTTGATCTTCCGGCAAAAAACATCATCAGTATAGAAGTTTATTCCTCTTAACATCTGTATCGTTCAGAAGATAACAACTCACAATTAAGTAACAGAGTATGCTGGCAGGACTGAAGGCCATGGACAGGTTTTTATCCTGCACTAGGTTCTATTTTGATAACCAGTATGTAATGCCTAGTTAGGTTGGAATTATCCTTCCATAGATAAGAAAGATTGTGAAAGATAGAAGTATTTTTCCTCAGGTTATTGGAGTAGTTCTGCTTTAATACAATGTTAAATGTATGAAAAATTGACGTTAGGTGAAAAGATTCATAATATTAAAATCTTTTCCAATATATAAAAGTTTGCCATAGAAATTCTATTTTTAAAACTGTCATTGGTATCGGAGAACCATAGCTCTTATGTATGAACTGAAATTGAAAAAAACAGGGAGTTCCTACTGTGAACTCTAAGCAGAGGAGAGATATACTACTATAACCTTTCATTCTTTTTTGTATATAATTGGCTTTTTTTTTTCCCTTGAGAAGGGGTCTCACTTTGTGTTTAGGCTTGCCTTGAACTCGCCCAGGCTTACCTCAAACTTGGCGATTCTCCTGCCTCGGCCTCCCTAGTGAAGGGATCACAGGTGTGCCCAGCGTCTATGGTTGACATTTTTGAGTGCCAACTGTATGAGCACTGGAGAGAACAGCAATAAAAAAATCAATGTCTGATCTCAGGAAGCTCACGTTTTAGTATGTTGGACAGACCGTAAGCCACTATGTACACATGTATAAATACAGTATAGCTGATGTTACGTGCTGTGAACAAAATGAAAGTAGGCTAGGATAGATAACAGAATACTAGTGGGGCAGAAGGTTTGTCTTTTTTTTTTTTTTTTTTTTTTTTTTTT